GCTCGGCCGAGAATTAAGCCACTACCCAATATAATTCTGTAGTTGAAATTTTAATCGCATAATTTCAAGATACAAAATTTAAAAAAAAGCATTACGTAAAATACTAAAAATTATAAAAAAAATAAATAATCGTAAGAATTAACATCTAACTATTATTTTTCGTGGAAGACAAACTATAATATCAAATTATAATATCAAGTCTATTTAATTATAGCAAAGAGATATAAGAGATTATAAATATTTCATAAAAAATACGCGTTTTTAATTATTTTTTGGAGTCTATCTGAAAGATTATGCCTTTAATTATGAGTTTAAGTAAATAATTTTTTAGAGGTCTCTATCAGCAGATTAAATAAAAAGAGCCTAAATGTAGCTTTGATGTAGCTTTAGCAAAACCCTTTTCCTCCCTGTGCACGCGTTTGTGTAAATGTAGGTCATGTAGCGCCTTAGCCGAGATGACGAGAGTGCTATCGGGCAGGAAATGTTCAGCAGACAGTGTCCCCGCGGTGGGCTCGGACTTAATACCCTGCATAATCCTATTACGATACCGAAATGCTCCTATAATGTCTATCCGACAGAGATTAGGATCGACGCAAGTCATGAGAATCGACGGCGTTCGCGATCATAAAACTCGGTAGGCAGACAAGCTCCGACTCGTACCGGATTTTAATTTATGTCGTGAGAACAGCACGTTGCGAAAGTCTTTCTTCGGCGCGGCGATAACTTTGGACACGCCTGGCCTCTCCTCTCATCGCGCGTCGCTCTCGTACCGTTACTTTTTCCGCGATAAGTGCGCCGTCCGATTAGCGCGCTCATCATCGATGGGAACTTACGGACGGGTTCGGGGAGAAACTATCGTCGTATCCCACCGTAAAGTTACTTATATTAGGATCGCGCTGTCTATTAAATCTGGTTAATAATATTCGTATCATAAGTACATAATGTATACGCTGTAACAACTACGTATATTATATTAAATATAGAAAATGTATAAATATGTGAATAAATAATCGTAAATTAAACAAAATATTACATATTCGACATAGAAAATTAATAAAAAAAAAAAAATACTAATAAGTGATATACACATACATCCAGCGATATATCCAGTTATACTCGTAATATTATTGCAAGCTCACGCGAAGTCTCAGGTAGTCTTGCCCTGGATACCTGTACGAATATCTGCCTCGCGCGATCCGCCAATATAAAAGACCCAATTGTATTTATACCGTAAACCTGAAATTTGAAAACCTCTCACGGCTACCTTTCACAACACACACACACACACACACGCGCGCGCGCGCGCGCACCCAAATAAAATAACTATTCCCCAGTTAACCGCAACATTCGGAAAGGAACTCCCATTGTCGTCCTCAGAAACGTTCGTTCGAAAGTTTGTATGAAATCGCTCCTCGTTCAAAATTCAACGCGGGCAGAAATACGCTGGCGCGCTAATAAACGGATGTGTAAAGCAAATCGTATAAATTACGGCCCTTTTTTATCTCGCGCAGCCGTCATGCCGTTACATGTACTCATCAGTCGGACAGGCCATTACATCTAGACAGCCGGGTATACGAGAGCAGCGCAACATGCAGGCCGAGTGCGACACGACGTGCAGCGTGTTCCGAACACGCTGCACGCGAATTGCGCGCGTATCTCGATCTGCGGTTTTCACGTTGGGCCCGTTTCACATTGTATCTGCCTCACGTGTCCATTCGCGAAGTGTGCATTCGCCAGATACTTCCGAAGATTAATACGTTAAATGTTCCGATTAACGGCACGTAAATGATGCGCGCGCGGAATCAAAATTGAAAGTCTGACAGATCTACGATATAGAAAAACGAGTTTTATAATCGCGATTAATTAATCAATTATAGGTACATCATTTCGTTTCTTTTTTTTATTTTCAAGAATTAACATCGTGATAAAGTTACACGCGAAATATCTTGAACATGATTAAATATGTTTTGATTATGTAATTGAGTGTAATAAATATTTTCATGCTGCAACTCGCGCATCTCTATTCTTTATTTAAGCAGTGAAATATTTGCTTACGATTTTATGAGCGACAACTTTAAGTTTATTACCAACGTTCGTCCTGCGAAGCGCAAATTATGTGTTGTTGCACGTGCGTCGATTATGATATGTTTTACAATCCGTGACATCGATTAACGATTGCGTGAATTCGCGTCTGTTATTGTTACTCAACGGAACGAAGGGCCGAGGAACTGAGGGAACCAAAAATCCAGGCCTCTGATCGTAAACGACACAACGTTTTTCTCTTTCTCTTTCCCTCCTCCTTTTCTTCTTCGGAAGGCACGAAACGTAGGGGACACGCTTCAATAAATTATTCATGTCCTCACGACGAGTCGTGCTGCGCCCGGGATACTTTTATATAAATTTTTATAGGTCGTACAAAAGCGAAGTGGCTACGTCTTCGGGAACGACGCGCGCGGTTTCCTCGTATCGAACGATCAACGCTTGCGCATGATGATATATGTGAAATTCTGTTAATAATAATTGGTAAAAAACAAAGCGCGAGTGTATATGTCTAACGTGCAATATTATTCATACCTGACAATATTTATGACGACGTCTTTTCATAAATTATTAGATTTTTAAACGTTTCATAGATCATAAATTTTTAATCTTTGAAGGATTTTAATACTAATAGATCCTCGTTGCATATTACTTGTAAAAAAAATCGTATCTAGCCTCCAGGCTGGATTCGAATAATAACATGCGTTACACAAAGAAAAACAGAGAGTAATCGTTCATTTTCTTTTAAAAGCAGATACAAGAAATTGATAAAATCTATCGATGTGATATCAATAAATATTTCCAAAGTGATTCGTTTTAATGATACAAACGTCTCGATAAATAATATTTGTCGATGAAATTTGATGATGACAAAATTAAATGTCATTAATTTTCAAATTGAATATTAATCCCGCTTCGAATCAATTATTTTAGAGGGAATCTCGTTGATGAATAAATAACGTGATCATTATACTAAAATCAATGACCGAGAAGCAAGTCGATAGTACTGATTTATAATTGACATTTCGATATATAGCTGAAGGATTTTAAATCGTTACTCATTTGTAAGTTTAATTAAGTATCGTGGTGGTATACTTTCACGATGCTTCGTGAATCATCTATCCTCCTACTGATTTACTACAACGAGAATTTATCTCGGAGACAATTCAACTTTCGTAACAACGTGACGTACCTCCTTGACACATTACATATACTAGCGATAACGAGCAAGATATGAGCAGCTTTAAGAAAAAAAGGAAGAGTGTCATAACGCTACTATTATTTATTCAGGTCTTCTCAATCTTCAAATAATACGATCGTGCTCGGGAGGGATAGCACCGAGCGTTCCTCTCGTATACCGCGTGCCTCATAAACGGCGTGTGCACGGATAAGCCCGTGACGAGCGGCTCAACCACAACATCAAGTATGCCTTACTATGCGGCGAAATTATTACTATCGCGCTAATCACCACATAGAGGAAATATATATATATATATATATATACATACACACGTATCGTTCCCTCTTTCTTTCTCTTTTTCACTCTGTATCCCCCCAGATTCCTCTCCCGCTCTCGGGATTACGACCTCTGTCGCCGTCCGTGATTTGTACCGCTCCGAAGCCAGTCTCCGTTTGGAAAGAGACAAAGAGACGAGAGAGAGAGAGAGAGAGAGAGAGAGAGAGAGAGAGAGAGAAGGAAAAAGAGACATGGAACGGGCGACTCTAATACGCCGACATAAACAAAGTGACCAAAGGAAGAAGAGAATCGGACTAACTGGATCGTTAAATGCCAGAATCGTCGCTGCCATTCGATTTCTCTCTCTCTCTTCCTCTCTCTCTCTCTCTCTCTCTCTCTCTCTCGTTTCCTCTCACGGCATCGCGGTAACGACGCGGACACCCGGTATACAACAGAATCTCCCGCGCGAGATGTGCGCGGTGACGCGTCGAAGGATGTAAAAGCGCTAATGAAAGATACGACGCATGTAAAAACGGTCTACCCCTCGTCTCGAATGTTTACTCAAGAACGGCGTTGACGAAGGAATACAAACGTCTCGTGTTCGAGCGATGAGAAATGGGAACGATACTTCTTTTCTTTTTCGCTTCTCGACGTATAGCATTAATGCATAATGAATATATTTTAATCGCGTGTATTAAAAGTATTGCAATCGTGTGAATATTTCAATAAGATTCATAACATTATGACAAAGCTATTAAACGATGTTAAACAAGTGATGCTATTAAGCTTACGCCGAATAATGTCGATAGCGTTGATGTTAATGACGAGAATATCAGCGCGTGATTTTACAATAAAATATTAATACTATGAATATTAACAAAATATTAATAATAATTATGTTATTAATATTCGCATTTGCAACAACATTTTCAAGGAATGTAAACAGGCAACAAAAAAACATGCATCTGTCTCTTTAGTGGGAATGCTAATTAAGTCGATTTACAATGTAAATCTGACTCGTGCTTATGAATAAAACTATCGGTTGTCATATATTGATTGCACGAAGTGTAACACGTTAACCGTATAAGAGGTGCTAATTACTGTAATAATCGGTATGCTTAATACATGCTGCTTGCAGGATTTAGCGCCAAGAAGAAAAAGTTGTGACTTCGAATCCCGAGATTTATTCATGACGTATACGATCGCACGCCTAAATTCGTGCTCCGGCTCCGCTTGCCAAAACAAACGACGAATCATGGCCGCCCGGGGGATGCGCGCGAAATTGGAGCACGAAGCTCGTGACACTCGTGTCGCACGTGCGCGACGGACGTCACCTCATTAATCTCAATCGAAATCGTCGTTCCAGCCGCGCGAAAAGAAGAGAAAACAAGTGACAAAAGTAGGAAACAAGCAGCCCGCAGCAATTGTCGCAATTGGGAATCGGGGTGACCGAGGATCGCGCGCTGCCGAGATCGAAGATTCGACATTCGGAGAGGTTACTCACCGGCGCCGAAACTGGTGAGAGATCCGATCAATTAGCAATCCCGCGGCTCCATAGCAGCGCCGATTTCCTGTACTCAATGCACAACTCAGTGTCCCGTGCAGTGCGAGCCGCGTGAGTGATACAATCGCGCCGCACCATCAAGTCACTGCTCCGAAACGCGTATCCGAATATTTCACAAAGAGGACGGCGATCGAACTGAAAACCGCGACGAACGGACAGAACGCCACGCCGCGCCGCGACGCGTCCGCGATTTTTGTTTATGTACGATCGCACGACGCGACGCGAGAGAAACGAATTACGAATCGCCGTTGAGCGAAGCCTTGGCAGCTAAACGCCGACTGAACGCGAGAGACTCGTACGACGCGGCTTTGGTATCGGCTCCACGCGCGTCGGTCGACTCTCCTCTCTCTCTCTCTCTCTCTCTTCCTTTCGCGCGGCAGGGGTTGGCGGGCGAGCGGTGGTGGAAGCCAGTTCGAAAGTTCGCGCAGCCGCCGCTAAGTTGGCGCCAGTCGACGTGGCGGCGATACTCGAGATTGAGACGCTTATACGGAACGCCGTTCCGCGAGTTAAACTAAACTCTCCGTGGGACTTGAGAGAAAAGAGAACCGCGAAAAGTAATAAAGCGTAAGAAAGTAATATAATTTATAACAGAGTGACAAATGCATTAAATAAAAATGATTCGTGTAACAAAGTAACAAATGCGTTAAATAAAAATGAAACGCGTATGTAGCTAAAATGTGAAATAGAGTCTTTCGTTCCGAGTCGTTGCTCTGGTCGCGACTCTGGTGGTCAAAAATCCGTAATCAAAAAAAAGAGGAAGAGAAGAACAAGGAGAAAAAGAGAGAGGAAACCGAGATAATTGGGGAACGAAAAAGCAACGTCGTTATGTTATTCGCGTTAGGCTGTAAGAAAATGACGGGATAGCGCATCACGTCTCTCATCTCCGCTGTCTAAAACTGACAGAAGCTAAGAAATACACATAAATAATAATACATAAAAGTCAAAGAATGTCGGAAAATTAAATGTGCAATTAGTGATGTAAGAAAATGATAAAAAGGAAACGCAACGAAATTACTGTTATTTGCGAATAAATCTAATTTAAGTTAATATATCTATGGCATGTCTTTTAATCATTAATGTACGGCATTTCTAATAATTTAACTATATCTATATTATAAATTTATAGAACACATGGAAATATATTAAAGAGCATTATTAATATCCCTGTGGCCGTAACGCCATCGACATGCGATTTCCAGGGACCGAGGAAACGGGAAGCGGCGCGCATTCGCACGTCCTTTATCAGTTTAAAAATCCTCGTCGCTCGAAGTTACCATTTGCACCGCGGGAGATCCTTGCGCGTAATAATCGTAAACAATTTCTAATGTGTACATACGCGGGGCACCGTTAGAAACTCGCCGCGGGTACGGACATGTACCTGAAGTGCGTACGCACCGCAGAAGTAGCGTCGCCATCGTCGTCGTCGTCGTCATCGTCGTCGTCGAACAACGGAACGAAAGACCCCTTGAAGCGCGATTCAAGAGTGTACGGACTGAGAACCAGCACTCCTCGTCCTCTATGCGTGCTCTCGTATATAGACGTCGTCTCGTAGCCCGTATTAAGAGAGCGTCGCTTTATTAACGACGCTGGGAATTGACATCTGCTCGTTACTTATTGTTGGCCGTAGAAGTTCGCGGCTTTTGCTTCAATCACAGGGCTAGAGTGACAATTATGCATTTCTCACACGGCTATACAAGATAGAGATTCGTGATTTATATTATTCAGTTACATCTCAATATATACTCCATATTCAAACATCAAACGTAATAAAAATAGCGGTATGCAATGAAAGAGAAATCTTCAACAGAAAGAGGCGCCCGATATTTCTTTTCCTCCGGTAAGAAATATCGCGTTCAATACGAAATGGACCGTTATTAAATTCTTTGTATTGTTTGGGCTACTGAAAGCACGTTCGGAAACGTTTCATGAGAAATGTCGAAATACCCCGAGCGCATTTTAGAAAGCGACACCTGCAGCGAACATCGATTGGAGTCACGAATCGCATATTCCATGAAATGAAATGTGTTTCTCATGCATTATATATGCTCATGCGACAAATGCTGGATAATTAAACGCGAGAATATCTCGGCGCAAATTTCATACATAATGCAGTTGCGTATATAAAGAGCTAAGAGAATAATATAACATATGTCAAGAATTATAGTAATGAAAAATAAAATTTTTAATTTGTTAAAAGTAAAAAAAGATGTTTTCTTCCAAAAAAGAAATAAATAAAAAGATGCTTAGATTAGAAATAAAAACATAACAATTGCATTAGGAGGAAAACCCTTCTTTTGCTGTTATAATTCATGTGGGATTCTAAAAATTGAATACCGGAAAACCGGCAAAATTCTCCCGAAATTGTATCGTAAGAGGGAACGTCTCGAAAAATATATATAGAATATTATTATTGCTTTTTTATTCGTGTCTTTATTCGTGTCTGTCACGCGGAAAATTGTTTCTTGGTTGGACGCCGCGCTGAAGAAATCGTCGCGCCCTTCCTCCGCTATCTTCTTGCCGTCGGTAAACAGGAGCAAGATAAGCAACCAAGGGATAAGGGACCTGTCATCCGTGACGGAGTACGTCCCGTCCCAAGACTCGCCTCAAGGACGATAACCTCCTCCGCGAACTTGAGTCGGTTCAAACTGGACCCGATCAAGAGAGCAGGCAGGGAAGAGGAGGAAAGAGAAAAAGAGAAAGAGAGAGCTTCTCCTTTCCTCCTTACATCTTTCTTCGTCCTTTTCTCGAATCTTGCCCTTATGCGTCTTATTTCGAGAACAGGATGATTACGCGTTTACGATCTAGGTTCCCCGCTACCTGCTCCCGCTCTGGTGGAGTCGAAGGTGAATATATATTATCGGGAGAGGATATCTCCCTCTCTCTCTCTCTTTCTCTCTGCGGAGGCACTTCAACGTAGCCGCTCTCGCGTGAGCTACCTCGAGGAGGGGAACAGCGACGGGAGAGGAGGTTTCAAGGACGAAGAAGGAGAATCGGAGCCGGAGGAGCGCTTTTACTATAGGATTGCGTGGGGGGTCGATGCGCGCACGCATACACACATCACGGCGCGGCTTGTACGGGGAACGATCGTAAGGAGAACGGCTGTGTTGTACGGAGAAGCGGTTTCGGGTCGGCATAATCCGAATTCGAAACCTGTTCCTGCCCCATGGGTCAACAACAACATCCTCCTACATCCTGCTCTTTCCCCTCCTCCCCGCGAGACCACCTCGAGCCGCCCTCACCTCGTATGGCCGGCTTCGACCAGATGCACACGAGCCACTTCCATCGAGAGTAACGCGTATAAACCCCCAGTGTCAAGTGCTTGGCCGGTGGTTACGTTATTTTTTCCAGGGTTTTATGGCTCTATCCCGCTGGTCGGAAGTACCTCGAACTCCGGCCCGCGCGCAAGAAACGTTGCGGAGAATGTACTGAATGTAGGTGTGAATGTACTGCGTGACTTGCAGATACGTTTGCACCGGATAAGAGCGTTCACTATGCCATAATTTTTAGACGGGATGAATTCTTATGGACGCGTTAAAGAAAAAAACAGAAACAGCTTCTTAAGATATTTTTTTCTTTTAAACTTTACCCACCCTTCAAAGGTTTTCATGTACGCGATGCGGCACCTTTACGAAAGTCACTCGGTTTTTAATGGACAACAAAGTGACGAGGGAAAAACGTATCTTATAGCCGACTTTAATCCGAAGGGGAAACGCGCGTACACATACGCGGCTTTGCGGTTATTGGAGTCCCGCGAGGCTGAAAAGTGTACGTTGGACGCAACAACGCTATTGGTCTACTTTCTCTCCAGGCGTAAATTGCAATCACGTCCCACGGGATGTGCCTTATACGCCTTCTTCGTGCCGGGGCTCGTACCGCGACGAATCAATTAGGAGCTTCCTCGCGCGTAATTATTTGGATCTAAAGGAAACGCTGCGCAGAACGGCACTCGACAGCCTTGTCTATATAGCGCTTGCTTTGCAGGAGGCATCGTAATTTCCGCGGCACATACATTCAATCTAATATAGAGTGCTAAAATGGGCTTACGCTAGATCGCTTTATTGCGGCCTCTATAATGGCGCGATGAGTTTTTTGCATCCGCATAATACACGTTGATTGCTAACTGGGATGCTGACCGGGGATGCCCGGCGATCGATTGGAGGGATATCGTTTTTATGCATTTCCTCGTAAAGTCGCTCTTTGTAATTCAATTCCTGGCGTTTGAGAACACGGAGCTTTTGAGAGATTCTTGGCGGAAAATTGCACTTTGACAGTCAAAGGTAAGAGGATCGGATGGTTTCGATTTTGTTTACAATACGCTCGTTAGCGTGGCAAAATTTTAAAGAGCCGATGCGAGAAGAACAAAGCGCCAGTTTAATGTCATCGAGTGTCATTCAAATAATGCGGGTCATTGTTCGTTCGCGTTGATCGTGCTTGCAATTCGCAAGTGCTAATAGTCGTGAGAAACTCTTTATCGCGTGAGTTTCTATATTATTAAAATGAAATTAAACAATATTAAGGCAAATATGACAAGTATTGTCAAAATAAAATTAATAATTTACCTATTTATTTTCAAGTAAATAATTAATAATTCTTTCTCATAAGAATTTGTAAAATAAACAGAACAAACGAAGGCATGAAAAAACATGAAAAGTCACTTTAAAAAATTTCTTAACATACTCTCTAAAAGTGAATCATCACTGATTTTTAGTGTACATAATTTTCCAGTGGTATCTTATAACTGTGTATAATGAACAGTAACTATTTCAATGTTGTTTCAATGATTCAAACAGTGAATATCACTGAAAAACAATAAATTTCAGTTCTCAAAACTGTTTGACAGTGAAACTCACTGTCTTTCAGTGATAATATACTCTGTTTGAGAATCAGTATATTATCACTTAAACAACATTAAAATAGTTACTGTTTATTATACACAGTTCTAAGATACCACTGAAAAATTATGTACACTGAAAATCAATGATGATTCCACTGATTCACTTTTAAAAAGTAGAATAAAAAATAACATGTAATATATATTTTTTTGTTAAAAAAATTTCAAGACTATACATCCAATATATCGTTCTGTATATATAAAATATATGACAGAAACGTCACAATGACGAGCAAAAGTCCATATGATGGAAGATTACAACGTATAATACGCTATGCTCTTAAGAATTAATACCTCTTATTTAATTATACTTGCTTAATGTACATAGATCCTGTTACGTAACTGCGAACGTAACATGAATAAAGAGCTGCGACCAAATGGACAATTAGTACGTGAAATGGAGTACGTTGCACAAGTGCGATT